AAGAAAGGCGAGGGACAGAAAGCACTGTGGGGAGGGCCATAACCATCTATCAAAGACTAGGTACTTTTGCTGAAGTTTACTGGAAGTTTTCCCCTCTTTCTTGCTCTATAAAAAGAAAGAAAGAAAAAAAAAAACATGTTGCAACTTCCTTTGTCACCGCACATGCTCAGGAAAAAACAGGCCCGACCCATTGCTTCACTTTCCCATCTGCACTAACGGTCAATCGCCCCATCCTGAGCCCCCACTTCTGCTCGCCCAGCTCCTGAGAGACAGGAGCCGAGAGCCTCCCGGCACCTGCCTGCTGCCTGCCACTCCTCCACCTGGGAGGTGAACACACAAAGGATGTGACTCTTCAGAGCAAGAGAGAAGCCCTGCGAGGGCCCAAAGGGCAGTAAAAGTTTACCCCGCCACTGGGTCAGCCTGGCCATTTCCTGTCATTGCCCCCTCCCACCCTGGCTCTGAGCGATGGCAGGCAACACCCCATCCCAGCATGTCCTATCAGCGGAAGACCCATGGGGAGACAAGCCTCTTTCCCCCTCGGTCACACAGAAGGTGAGAGCTCCCAGTGACATGCCTCTGTGCCTCTGTTGGCCTAACTTTTGTCTGCATGATCTCCTGGGTATCACAGGGGTGAGTCCACGAAGTGTCCCTGTCAGTGCCAGGCTAAAGTGATCCCACCTCTCACCCCTCCAGCCTCAGGGAGCCATCCCGTGCCTCTGTATCCTTCGTGGCCAGTCTGTTGCCTGCCTCATCACTTCCCAACACCACCTCCCTGAACTTCTTTCTTCGTGTGTAAAAGCTGGAACTGACTACCTGGCCTACCAGCCAGAGGTAAGTAAGTCCTCAACACTGTCGGTGGTAGGTTCTGCGACTTTAAGTGAAACAATGGATAATGAAACCAATTTTAGCGTAGGCTGATGATATAAACAAGAGTTCAGTTCCACAGCAGCATCTTATCAATGTCATGATGGAACGACGCGATTATTTGAGGACCTGCTGTACTCCTGTCAGCGTGTCAAGTGGGAGCCTGTGTGAAGGGCACAGCCCCGATTTAGGAGGCAGTCTTCTTCACTCCTCTCGTTCCTTATACACACACATAGGTGTTCTCTCCTCCTCTAAACTCTAACTTCCCAAAGGCAGGGCCTACATTCATCACTGTAGCAATTTGCACAAAAGAAGCATCCATAAATATTTGATGGTAAAACATAAATTGCTAGGTCAACTAAGTACTGACTTATAACGCAGCCACGGAGGAACTATTAGAGAGGCAGTTCTACAAGCTATAAGGAGCCTCTTTTAGAGTTAGATCCTTCCATCAATAGCAGCCTCAGGGCTCTGGACTGGCTATTGTGTCTGCCTGCAGACCCTCCCCCTCCAAATATTTCCAAGGCTCACTCAAATGTCACTTTTGTAGTGAAGTCCGGCCTGAGCCCCTATTTAAAATGTCAGCACTACACACACACACACACACACACACACACACACACTCCCAGCATTCCAGGGACTCCTCCTCTTGCTTTATCTTCTCCTTCATACCTATCACCATCCAATAAGCTGTATCACTTGACTGACTGTTTTGTCTGTCTCTCTCTGCTAGAGGATAAGCTCCATGCAGGTAGGATATGTATTCTGTTTTGTTTTTCTAGCCTGTTTGGTACAGTGATATATGCCCAGAGCCTAAAATAATTCTTAGTAGGTGCTCAATAAATAATTGCTAATGAGTGAATTATTCTGGATATGTTTCCTCAAAACTTTTACTTTGTAGTATTATTTTTAAGGATGAGCAACAGAGTGTAAGTAAAACACCTACCACAATGCCTGATACGTAGTATCTGCTCAATACAGCCTTGTTATTCATCTGGGAAGCCTTTCACAGTGTTGCTAAACTTTCAACAGTGATCTAATGAGGCACAAGACAGGAGGCTGTTAGATGTATCCAAGTCAACCTGCTGTTCTGATCTATCCTTAGGGAGGGAGGCTGTAAAAGTCAGTCTCGGCTCTGATAATTGATTTTCTTGAGTATAAGTTGCTTTGGCTCTCAGAGGGATAGAAGACACATAAGGCAAATCCTACTTAGAAAAGTGGGGGGTCTAGTCTAAGCTGCTAGAAATCAACCCCCATTATTCAAAATTCCTCTCATCTCAAATAGCAGAAGAATTAAGGGAGCCCATTCTAGGCCAGTCCTGCCATCTGAGCCTCCTGATGGCCAGTCAGCAGGGAAGACAGGAGGCAGGCAAGGAGGAGAACCCGTTTGTAAACACTGCTTGAATGGCTGAATGAATAAAACTACTACAGCCAGGAGGAGGGTGAAAGAACAGTGGCCTGCAGACAGCAGCACAGAGAGAAGGGCTCCCAGGCCCCAGGCTCCCTGGAACCTGGCTGATCACCTCTGTTCCAGCATCTGGTTGCCTTCCCAGTAGTGGGGTTGCAACAACAATAACTGAAGAAAGCTCTTCAATTTGGGGTCCTTCTGGATCAAGTCTCAGTCCTTTCATTTACAAATGAGGAAACAGAGTGGGCCCAGACAGGTTCTAGGACTTGCTGAGGACCACGCCGCCAGATCTCTCAGTTCTGTTTCCCCTGGAAATCTGGGGCATGGAGTTGAGGTGGCCCCACGAGGTTCAAACCTCTAACCTCAGTCCCGGCAACTTGGTGTGCAACGCTGGTCCTCTTGCAACACACGGAGAAAGGCCAGCAGACAGATCACTGTGGACTGCATCTGTGTGTCTCTGTGTCTGAAGCTAGCTAAGAGATGCCAAGAGCTGAGGGAAAGCTGGCAAGCTCCACAGCTGTTCCTCCCTCGGTCTAAGTTTCCCGAGAGGCAGAAGGGTTCATCTCTACAGCAGAACAGGAAAAGGAGGGGCTCTGGAACAAGGAGGAGAGAAGAGGCATCAATGGGAAATGGGGTCAGGGCCCTTACAAGAACGAGAACTCTGTTAGCAGAAGCAGAAGGTGCCAGCTTGAGTCAGCAGATCCGAGTAGGTGGAGGGAAGAAATGCCCAGAAGTCTCTTCTGAGAGTGGCTTTTTAGTGGTCAGGAGGAATAACAGGGACAGACACTCCCGGGGACCTTAATATACACCAGAGTCAGCCACACAGAGTCCAGCCCAATGTTGTCCTTTTCCCAGAACCTCCTCTTCAACCCCGAGGATCAGGGCTAGTACCTTATATTTATGTAGGGCGCATCCACTGCTAGTCAGTTATCACGCCTTTATTAGGCAGCCAGGTATAATGCTCAGCGCCAAAGTCCTCTATGAATTTAATAATGGCATTCAGTCACCACATGGAAATAAGAGGATACAAAAGTAATGAAGAGGGAGGTCTTCAAGGAATGCAGAATCCCGTGTCTAGCGGAGCCCCTTGCACATGGAGAAAGACATTGAACACGTGAAATAAAGGTTTCCAGTGTCTTGGTCAGTTTGGCAGGGAGGGGTGGGGGACCCGCTTCCGGAGTGAAAGGCTTCGGGAAAGCAGCAGCATCACGAAGATAGGGAGAGAACAGGGAGATACAGATGGGGCTGGGGCGCAGAGGCGAATGAGCTACAGATGGACAGATGGGATACACACTATGGCAAAGGGGAGGGGCTAGGGAAGGGAGTCCTATTAAGGAAACAGCATAGGTAAGCCCCTTAATTTTTTTTTTTAAATCGAGGTCGGATCAGGGAAGGATGTGGAAATCTCCTGTATTCTTCAGGCAAAGGGAACCCACTGAAGGGTTTAAGCTGGGAAGCTACATGATCAGAGCTGGGCTTTCGGCAAACTAATCCTCCATGTGCCCCAGGGAATTGAGGGCCAAAACCTTCCTTCCGTGGCTGAGGTCCCCACCCCCACCCCACTATTCTCTATTCCGTCTTTCTCCAATTACATTTCAAACCCAGTTTTGTGCTCTTTTGAAAGCAACTAAGGCAAGGTAACCAAAACAACTGCATGAAATCAGGGGACACATGCAAGGGGCACCCATGCCCCTCTTCTTCCTCCCTAAGAGCACAGCCCGGGGTAGGGGACACGCAGAGCATGAAGTCCCTGAGAATCCCACAGGCTCTGTGAAAAGAATGCGATGCTTGTGAGCCTGGCAGCCAGAGGGAATAGTATAAACCTAAGCCTTTACAAAGCAGGTTACTACACATGCTCAGTTAGTCCCTGTGGCCTTCCGGTCTAGGTGCTGTAAGGAGAGAGGTGCTGTAAGGAGAGAGGGCGGAAGGTACAAGATGACCCCTTGCTGCCCTCACCAGCACAACAGAGCACAGAGCTCCGAGCTCTAAGACACACAGTCTCTTCCCCCGTCACCTGCATTCCTGGAATGCTCTAAGTTCCACACGTGGCCTCAAAGGCACAGGGCTACCCTCTCCCTGCCCAGCCCCACGGCCCTAGAGCTCTGCTCTGCAGATTCGTCGCTTAGAGGGGATTCCCTCCTAGGCTCCTGGAAGCCCGGCCTTCAGAACCTACCAGCCTTCCTCTAAGAATTACAGCCGCCAGGGAAGGAGGCCCAGGCCTGGGGTAGGGAGGAGAGAGGAGAGGAACAGCACAGCTACCCAAGGACAGGGGCTCTGTCTGTCAGAGTTAAAAATAAACTCTTAGCAATTTACACCCAACTCCTCCTCTGCAGAGGCCAATGGGCCTTGGCAAACAGATCTCTCCCTGCGGAGGAAAGGCGGACAGACAGGAGGAGGCAGACATGGAGACACGGTCTGGGCATGTAACTCTAGCTGAAGGCAAAAGTCCTACCTTGGCTTCTGTCACTCTCCCCACTCACCCTTCTCCCAAATAAACCCTCATCTCAGAACAGACACAGAACCCTCCCCCTCCTGTGCTATGGTTAGCACCAACACCTGTCCAAGGATTAGAAAAATCAGAAAGAAGAGAATTCCCAAGGCAAACATTCTGCCCAGTATCCATCCACCAGTTGAACAGGTGTCCCAGCCACCTGAGCCCCTTTCCTCACCTCCGCTCTAGGTCCCCAGGACCCATGGGCGGCAAGGGAAGAGGTCACCTTGATGGACCTCAATGGAACAGATCACCAATCCCCATCCCCACCGTCAGGAGGAAGATGAGACCCATGCTCTCTGGAACCCCCTGCAGGTGGCTGAGCTGGGAGAGCCAGGAGGCCATGGCCTGACGCAGGAAGAAGGCCCAGCCAGGGCCTCTATTCTTGGAAGCTAAAGAGATGAGGTCACACTTGTGAATGTGGTAACTGAAGCCCCAGCGCTGCAGAGGTGGAGAGTATCGCTTAGCAACGGTCAGGAGTCCTAGGGCAGGTAGCAGGCTCAGTCCAGGGCAGCGGTGAGGGCCGGGGACAGCCACAGGCAGGCCTCTCCGCCTCATCCCCACACACCTGCTGGCAGGGAGCTGTTTGCAGGTGGAGCTTGGAGGGAGCCAGAGCTATAGGCAAACAGCAGAAAGTCTGATGAACTCTGATGAACTCGTCCACCCGCCTCCGTGTCTCACCCTTCCCCTAGTGGGGAGCAAGCAAGGCGGCTCCCCAGAGACCTGTGCACATGCATACAGCTCGCTACCTGGACAAGCACCAGCCACGGCTCACTCCCAGCACTCAGACCCGGGTCTGCTCCCAAACTACCTACCCAGCTCAGGCTGGGAGCCAAGCGGCAAATGGGGAGGGCGAGAGTGACAAGAGAGAAGTTCAGCGTGGCAGGAAGACCTGGGACAGACACCAGGGCCTGGCATGAGGGTAGACTGCAGCAGTGGCAGGTTTATTTTTAGCTGCTGGGACAGAGGGGCTGAATCCTGGGCCGGGAGTCCCGGTTGCCTTGGAACAACATGGATAATCATAATGGCAGCCAAGTGACCAACTCAGTCACCTGCCTGAGGAAGTGGAGGGGTGCAGAAGGAGCCCCCAGGAACACAAAGCTGGAAGAGCTGGCAGGTGTATTGCCAGCAGGAGACCTCCCCTCCCCCATCTGAAACTAGAAAGAGTTCACCTCTGCTTCAGGTTCAAAAGAAGATATCTTCGTAGAGAAAAGCTAAACAGAGAGAAGGCCTGGCCAGAGTGGTTCCCTTGGTTCCCTTCATCTTTTCTGAGACAAATAAAGCTTCCAAGGGTGGCCATGAAGCTGAGCCTTTGGTCACCACTCTGCACCCCAGACAAGTCCTGGAAGGCACCAGAGATGCCTGGAAACGCCCCTTAAAAGTAAGATACCCTTTCTTCTAGCTCTTTGGGAAGCTCGGGTTCCTAGTGGAACAAACACACAGCCTGGCTGGTCTGGGAGGGAAGATCAGTTACAGATAGGGACTGACCTTGAGGCCATGTCCCAGCCTCTCCTACCTGCTGGATGGCACAGTGGCACACAAAGGTGTTTTCTGGGTCAGGGGATGAAGATCCCAAGAACTCTGTACTGCCCGGCTGAGCACAATCTCATCGCCTTTCCACTGTGTCTCTTCTTCCTCCCACCAAATCTGACGGCCCCACACACAGGACCCAACAGTGCAGAGCTCCAGGCCTGAAACTACTGCTTTAGCCTTGAACACAACTCACCAGGCACCTGCCTCTCCTCTTGCTTCTTCAGACCCCTGATCTCACTCTTACCCAGTCCTTCGGGAAGGAGTGGCATCTGAATGTAAATCCTAACTTCCCATCAGCTCTGGGAATCAGTCTCCAACTCTCACCTCAGAACAGGCCTAGTCCCTGCTGTATCTCTGAGTGAAATAGAAGAAGACACACATATGGATGGACCCAGCCACCCGGAGGCAAAGCCTGACAGGACACTGTGCTAGATTACAGCCTCACTCCCTCCCTCAGCAGGTGCCCCTGCACCACCCATCACAGAGCCATGTTTCAAATGGGAAAAGGGTTTCAGACAGGAAGGAAAAAAATTCCCCATCTCCACCAGAGCACAACAATTCTTCTGATGTCAAGGAAGTAGATTCACACCCCATGGAGTTACACAGCCATCCTCTCTAACTGAAACACGTCTGAGTGTTCACACTGCCAGGTATGAACAGCTGCTCAGTGAGGGTAACTAACTGGACACAGGCTGTCCTATCAAAAAGGCATCCATGCTGGCCCACATACTGCTGACGGTCCGGCATGTCAGCAAGCTACCCTGCCCGCCCTCAGCCTCTTCTTCCAGGGCAGCCGTCCACTGTCCCACAATGCCAAGTGCTCAAGGAGCCACTGACAGCCTGCCTGACAGGCTGATATGTGCACTGAGGCCTGGAAAGTTTAACTGACCTGCTCAAGGTCACATAACTAGCTAGCAGGACACAAAGATGAGGTCTTTCCCCCCCTCCCCCTTTCTAAGCTAGCACATAACAATGGGCTCATCTCTGGATATTTCCATCCATACATATCTTAAAATACAAAATATCAGTATTCCCCTAAAAACTAGAAGATCTGATTTGGTGTGCATCAAGCTGCCACAGCTGTGGTCCCTTCTCTTTACCAGTGTCCCCATTTATAAGGTGACCTGCGTTGAAAGATCCCAGTGACTGTCAGTGGAGCTCGGTTTTGCACTGTCAGGTCTACAACCCCAGCAACACTGCCTTTAGCAGGTCAAGCGGAGGTCTCAAGACATGGCTCTTACGCTGACACCAGGTAAGACCTTGGACATACCACTCAATCCTTGTGGACTGGCCCAGCCTCTTCCTCCGTGAGATGGAACAAGTCAAGAAAGATGACAGGGGAGTCAGCTCTAAGGTGCTTTGAGGTATGGGTCCCTTCAGCACTGGGCCTTAAATCATTACCAAGAGCGGCTGCAGCCCCTTCAAACACAAAGAACAATTCTGCTCTGCCCTGCCCGCCCGCCCACTCTGGGGCATCTGGGAAGACAGTCCAGGGAGGAGGGGAAAGAGAGCCCACTTGGCCCTTGGAAGGGCGTGAAGAGCAGAGGGAGCAGGAAAGGAAGGCTCTGCCACAGACATGAAGCCACAGGGAGAATCCTGGGTCAGAGCACCGGGGTGGGGGGGCAAGAGAGACCACCTGGGAATCGTGCAAGGGCTCAGAACCAGATGCCCGTGCTGTCCTCCCCTCTGTGGCTGACATTCCTCCTGGCACAGACTTCATAATAAGCAGAGCTTTGGCCCCTCCCCCAACCCAGGATTGGGCCAGGGATTAAGTCTGCCTTTGCAGTCCTGAAACTTGGCTCCTCCGGGCCTCACCCTGAATCCCCTGCACCTGCTTCTTAAAGTGAAACCATCACCTGATGATGGCCCAACTCCTCCGATCCCAAGCAGTCAAAACATGGTCATCACGGATACCAATCCCTCCACCCTCCTGAGGGGAGCCCCTACATTTCCCAGACACCCACCAACACCTGGTCTCGAGGCCTGGGGCTTTGCTCCACCCCCCTCCTTCCGTAAGCCCCTGATCCCAGACCTCAGCTGAAGATTATGTTCAAGCTCCATCAAAGCCCAGAATTCACAAGTGAAAAAGGACCATGAGTCAACCGGCTTTGATCCTGCTCAGTGGATGCCAAGCGCCCTGCTGCAGTCCACAGGGGCCAGAGCCCCAGGAGAGGGACAGCGTCTCTGAAACCTGCCCTCGAAAAAAGCCCCAAGCCCCAACCTCTGCAATTCCTAACCTTTCTTTATAACATCCTGCTCACTTACTTCATGACCCTCAAACACTTTAAAACCTGCTTTTAATAGCAAGATGGCTTAGGTTCAATTATGAGACACCAGCCCTACTGGCTCCCTACCATCTGGACCTCCTGCTCTCCCCTCAACTCCACTACCCAGAGCCAACATCACCATCACCTCCTACAGGTCTGCTCCTTCCCCAGGGACCCAGTAATGAGCTGTTCTCAGCTCTTCCGATCCTCACAGATTCCCGATCCTCACAGATACCCGTGTCAAAGCTCCTCTATTCCCAAGCACACGATTTAACGCCTAGACCAGCAAAGTGCAGTGGGACTTTCTGCGGGGATAAAAATGTTCTTCGGAACTGTTCAATTCAGTAGCCACTGGCCACATGTAGCTCCTGAACACTGGAAAGGTGGCTAGCAACTGATTTGTTTAATTTAATTGAGTTTAATTAATTCTAATTTCAATAGCCATGCTTGGCGATTGGTTACCACATTGGACAGTAACACCCTAGACTTCGTTTGTTAGTTTCACCTTCTCCAAATCGGTTTCTCGACCCCCCCCCCAATTTTAAGGCCACTTTATATGTCTGTGTCCTCCATACAACATATAGGAGGATGCTCAGTGAACTATGAACTACCTGTAACCATCGTGAATGTAAGAGGCTGATCTGGTCAATGAAACTTGCCTCACCTTCTGATCCTATCCAGCAAACCTCAGTCTGGACTCTGCCTGTCACCCAGCCACACTCCCATCTTGCTCCCCAACAGGTATGCATGAGGTGTGCTGGGTAAGATGCTCCCTGTACAGTGGGGATGTGGGAGCTCTGGCCTTCCCTCTGACAGTATCCAGACCAGCCATGACAGGTTCAATCAGCTCCACTCCAGAACACCAAAGGCAGCCACGTTGCTGCACTACGCGATCCGGGGCGAAAGGACGCTGGAGAAAGGAAAGATGACACACCAATCGCCCTGTTTTCTCTAACCCAATGGTTCTCAACCTTCTGGCCCTTTAAATACAGTTCCTCATGTTGTGACCCAACCATAAAATTATTTTCGTTGCTACTTCATCACTGTAATGTTGCTACTGTTATGAATCATAATGTAAATATCTGATATGCAGGATGGTCTTAGGCGACCCCTGTGAAAGGGTCCTTCAACCGCCAAAGGGGTCGCGACCCACAGGTTGAGAACTGCTGTAGCCCGTGCAATGGAAAGGTAAACAGAGATAAGTTATGACAGCATCCTATATTTTTTTAAGCAATAACATGTTTCACCTAATCTGAGCCACAGCAGAGAGGGACAACAATGCCAGCTTTAATTAAATTTGTTCAGCTAATAACCAAGAGTCACCATGACACAGTGAAGCAGGAAGCAGCTGAGGAACTGCACAGGGAATACGACCAATTACTACTCAGGTGGCTTGAGACCAGGTGTCCCTATCAAAGAAACAGTTCATAGGATTCCCATATTCTTGTACAAAAAAATAATAATAAATAAGATTTTTATCGAACACTCCCTAAAAAAGGAAGGGAGTGGTGAAAGTGCTTGTTACCATAGATTCAAAACTCAAGGAGCTGCTGAGTTGGTTTATAAACTCCAACTTCAGGGATGACTGCTGAGGAATACCCACCCAGCACCCCCTCGCCCAGTCCAGGAGGTCCTGGGTGACAGTGTAGCTCCTCATGGGGCAGCAGCCAGTCCCAGGTACTGGCCTGCTGAGGGCGCTACAGTTACAAAGTGTGAAGAGGCCTGAGACCCAGAGTCAGGTGTCCTGGGTTCTAACCCTGACTCTGCCAGGTGCATGGCTATCTTACCTCAAGCACCTCTTCGCTCTGGGCCTTACTCTTCTCATCTGCAAAATGAGGGGGTCAGATGAGATGACCTCTAAATTCCCTCTGACTCTGAACTCAGCAGAAGCAGCCAGGAGAGATGGTGAGGTGAGGTCATAGCACCCACCAAAAGCCTTTACATGTTAGATCTCTCGGGTGGAGAGAGAAGCAGCAGGGCGGGCAAGTTGAGACTTACATTTTAAGCAGTGAGTTCACTTAATCAGGCTAAGAGGTCACAGACCACAGACAGGGAGTAGGGCATCTGGACAGCCACCACCTCCCTCCCATCAATTCTCAGGCGTCAGAACCCTCATCAGAGGCCCTGCTCTCTGCCCCAAGTCCCCAGGAACGGTGTGACACGCTGTGCAGGGTACAGGCCTTTCCCTTTTTCTGTAGGCACCATCCCCATGGGGCAACCCCTCCTGCCCCTGCCCCACCCCCATCTGCCTCCCTTGCTATATAATCAAAACACTCCTGCTTTTGAAAATCACTTCACTACTCAGCACCTAAGGTTGAGTTAATCAAGAGTCAAGATCTAGAAATCTCTTTGGTGTATGTCTGGCACAGGATGCTTTGAACCAAATTCCCCCACAGCTGTAATTATGTGTTGGCCAATATTTGGATATGGAAGTGCTGTTGACACTGCTGTCAGTCTCCGAATGCCTCATCCCTGCTTTCTTCCTCTGTTATTAAGCTTTTCACAAAGATGTGTGGGAAATCTACAATTTAACAGTTGAGTCAACTTGTAAGATCTGGGAGCAGACTACCTGTCAAAACAGACTCCGACTTCAATCTTCACCCCTTCCTAACCCGAGAAGGATAAACGACGAGTGTTATTTAAAACACTGCTGGATTTTCCCTTTCTTTCAGCGCTATTCGAAGAGGGTCAATGTCCAAATCCCTCTCCTATTAATTACAACAGAAATCTTAATTGCCACCCAAAAGCATTTTAGAGGGTGGTTGTGTGTGCCCATTAAATAGAAAAAGGAGCAGAAATTGAGAGCTCTTGTTCTAAAGTCTCCATACAATATTCCAACTTTCCAAGAAAATGAGCAGTGTCCCCAAACTGCTGATGGGGGGAAGGCAGATGGCATCTCAGAGGAGACAAAACTTTGCTGGAAAGAACCGTCTGTCACTTCCTCAATCGTACAGGTTAAATGTGGTCAAACAGTATTCACTCAACTCGACTCCCCAAGGTCAGAGCCATGGTCAAACAACCCCTCCCCTCCCAGCCCCAGTTATGAGTATGGAAAGAGTGGTCTAAGGCACAAAAAGTATTCAAGTGTCCATGGTGCTGATATATGCCTTCTCACACCATCCAACTCTAAACAACGATCAGAAGCCCACACCACCACCTTAAAGTAGAAACCAAAGAAATCTTGACAGTGTTGAGCTTGTTGAAAGCTCTCCCCCAAAAAGGAGAATGAAAGGAGCAAGAACAAATAATTTATAGAGGCCTAAAATCTGGAAATTGAACATTCTTGCCCTCTCCAATTGTGAAGTACATACCAGGGTTCTATTACATCTAATTATATATTCCAACAGTCCCACCCTTAACACACACATATCTGAGTTTTGTATTAATAGCTGAAATGCAGCTAGCAGTGTGGGGGGTGGGGTGGGGGGGATGAGGAGGAAAAGATAAATATAACACAGGAAGTAATTTTCTCCTCCAATCATTAACACCCCCCCAGGGGAAGTCGGGGTGATGTGTCACCTTAGAGATGCGGTTTGATATGAAAACCCTCTGAGCAGACCTTTTAAATGACTCTGAACACTGGCTCCCACTGCACTGGGACGACACTGGGGACTCATCCATCTCCCCAGACCTCCAAGTCCATTCTGGTTAACTTCTGAAGTAGGTATTCTCTTTGAAATCCCCATTTTCCTCCTACCACACCCCCTCAAAAAAGAAGAAAAAGAGGTTGGGTTTCCCCAGTTCAAGGATAACGCTCCCTCCCACTGCCCACCAATGGCCCATGTCCAGGACTCGAGGGGCCACCTCCGATCCGATGTGCGGAATCGGTACGGGGCCAAGCGTGGTTTCCAAACCCGGTTTGCAAAGATCAATGACGCTATGGAAACAGCCGACGCCGCGCCGAGCCTGCTGGCCTCCCATCTGGAGCCTCACAGGCGCGGAAGGTAGGGTAGGAGGGCGCCGGCTCTCCGATCAAAACAATCCCTCCTTCCAAAAAACAGGAGGCCCGGCCGCGCTCGCGAGGCCCAGGGAAATGAAATCACACATTCCGGCTCCCAAATAAGGAGCGAGGCTAAACAAACCTCCGAGCTCGGACTTCTCCAAACCAACCGACCAACCGGCTCAATGAGTAATGGGTCTTTTGTGCCCGCGGAAAGAAAGGAAGGAGGGAGGAGAGGATGGGGAACCGCAACCCCGGGAAATCACTTCCTCGAGGCGCGGTGAGAATTTAGCAGAAGTGGTCCCGACGCCAACCGTTCGGCCCCGGCTGGATCCCGCTCCAACCCCAAAATGGCAGAGTCCCCGGGAGTCCCCTCGAGTTGTTTTCAGCAGGTTCCGGATGTGCATCTTCACTTCCTCTAATACTTCTGACCACTCTGGGTTGGGAAATTCATATTGGCCCATTTGGATGTGAGTCTTCGTGACTGGAGAGATGGCCAGGCCATGGTTGGAATAGAAGGGCAGGTATCCACACAGCAGGATGTACATGATGACATTCAAGTACCACATATCACAGGACTTGTCATACTTCTCTGGGCCCAGCACTTCCGGAGCTACATAGTATGGCATATAACAAGGAGTGGTCAACAAGTTGTGGCTGGTGGTTTCCTTGGCAAAGCCAAAATTGGTGAGTTTCAGGATGGCGTTGGGCCTTCGGAGGTAGTTATAAGAGATTCTCCGGCTTGACATCCAGATGAGCAATGTAGATTGAGTGCAAATACTGAATGGCCTCACCAATGCTCTTCATGATTTCTGAAGCTCCTCTTTCTGTGAACACCTGGCCTCCTCGGTCCTGGATTTGGCTGAAGAGTTCTCCACCATCCAAGCACTCCATGATGATGAGCAGGCATTTCCTCCCTGCGTACAGATTTTCATAGACGACCACAATCCGCACAATGTGTGAGCACTGGGAGGCCCACCAGTGCAGCTCCACCTCACACTGGGCCTGGCACAGTCCTGCAGCATTTTTAGGGCGAATTTCTCCTGCGTCCTCTTGTTGAAGATCTGCAAAACTTTCCCGTTGATGCCCAGCCCCAGGACCTGCGTGGTGACCTTGTAGTCGTCGATGATGGCGTTCTTCTTGATCTGCAGGCTCGACTTGACGTGGAACTGGGGAAACTGCTGCGGGGGCTGCGGCGGCGGCTGGGA